TTCATAAATTTTTTAATGAAATTATCGTTTCATTTAGCTGTACTAACATGATGACAAGTGAATAAAGCTAATAAAATGTTGTAAAAATATGATTTTTTTTTCATCAGGATCAAATTTATTTGTGACCCATGATCAAAGGTATACTTGGTGCTGTCGCCTGTTTTTGTTTTCGGGAGCGTTCCAAAAATACCCTGTATAAAAAAGCAGTTTCAGTGTCTTATGGTGTAGATTTATCAAGTCCGCATGGAATGATAAACACGATAACTTTTGAAAACATCAATTTTTTAACTCAATCTATTTTTTAATATCTTCAGCTATTATATGAGAAGCCATGGAATATAAATGGCAGTTTAATTTTATATTATTTAGTTATAATTAATTTTTATCGGCGTAGAAATCAGGAAATTTTCGAAGTTTTAGCAGTCTTGTAATAATTTATTTTACTAAATAGACTGCCTCACGCACTCACTGTCACTTCGGCGTCAACTGCCGTCGTGAGTATCGGTTGTATCCACGGAATATAAAAAACAAGAGGAAGTAGCAAAACGCATAATTCGTAGCGAAACCACTGTCGCTAAACTCACACATGCACAAGAAAGAAATGTGTATCAACAATTGTGTACCATTTCAATAATTTTCACGTGATTGGTTATTTTAAAATAAAAGAGAAAGGCATTATGTTACTCACCATTCATTTGAGTATGAACAATAAGTCCTTAAGAATAAAGATTATATTCCTTTTCATCAACGAAGTTTCTATAATTAGTGAGCAAACTTAGCTTTTTAACGTTAGATATCGCAATAATAAATTCACGCTATTTGAGACATAATGACAATAGATATAACGTTGACATTGCCCTACTCATGCCCTAACTAACCTGTACTGCCACGTGAATGATGTTAGTGATGTAGTTACTCTGCCTGAACATGATCTGGCTTATATCGATATTCAGTATAATGATGATTATTATCATGTATATGAATTGACTGTAGAAACTAAATTTAAAAAAAATATATATGATAAAATGAGTAAAATAGCAAAATTTAATGGAAATTACCATAATGTACCACGTATATCCCTGAAATTCATATAGCCGACATATAATTAATTGTATTTAATGGAAATTTATTTACAATAAGCTAAATTATCAATTTTGAAATGGAAACAAGGAGAATAATAAAAAAACAATAATTTAGCAATTGTTTATTGTCATAGAAATAACACATATTTGTTTAAAAATTGTCATGTCCACACTTTAATATAAAATTTTAGATGATAATGAATTCGGTTACCAATGTAGATCATGATATTAAGATCACTTTTATTTTAGTTTTTTTCCAAAAGTCATGAGAACTACTAAACTACTTACTTATTTCTCTGGCTTAGCAACCCTAAACAAATGTTCATTCGTAGCCTTCACCCTACAATTTCGTATATTTTCAAAGACTTCCAGCATTTGCAAATTTACATTAATATGTGAGTAAATTAACAGGATTGATGATAACATTTTATCGAAAACTTTAATGTCGGCGTTGTTACAACACTATCGCAGCTATTTTATTCAAAACGTGTTTACAGCTGAACCTTATCTTAACGAAATAAGGATGAATATTGCTTGTAATAAAGCCAATTTGACATTTTGTCCATGTTTAGTTAAGATTCTATCCAAAAAATTAAAAAATTACACGTGCCTTTGTTAGAAAACACCTCTATTCGAAATATTTTTATTTTTTACTTTCGTTTTTACACTCCCAAATTGCACTAAACAGCATATTTTCGCATATATCACTCAAGCAACGACCCGTCAGCTCGCAACAATTGAGTCTGCGACTGACGGTCAAAGAGTATAGTAACTGTCCTATACTGACGGTCTATTACGCTCTACTGTCACTAATTGTGACACGTCTGCCCCGCCCACTTTGGGCTTCCTCTTGTTTTTTATATTCCGTGGTTGTATCGGCCGGCTGTATCAGTTGCTTGCAACGGCTTAAAAAGATAGCTGTACAAATACAAAATATTCGAAAAACCAAATTTCATACATACTTGATTATTATAATAATCAGAGATTTTTAATACAATATTTTAAAAGCACGGAATAAATTATAGTGCTACGTATACTATAATTTATAATATATACATATACTCCATGTGCCAAATAAACTTATTTCGTTATTTCTTTCTTCACTAAAAGCAAGTAGGTTGTTTATATTTAAGTATATTTATGTTTCAACATGTCTTGGACTTTATGGAGTGACCTCGATGATGATAATATGATGATCATATGAGCATTATGAGTCGTTAACTTTTGGATTTTCTAAACTTTTTTTTAATTGAAGTTTGATATAATTATTTAAGTACATTTATACTTAAATATGTGTTGGAATTTATGGAGTGATCTGGATGATGATAATATGATGATCATTTGAGTATCATGAGTCGTGCACTTTTGGATTTTCCAAACTTTTTTTTTAAATTGAATTTTGACAAATTATTGGAAAATTGGAAGTATAATAATAAGGTTATTAGTGAAAAATTGTACATTAAGCTCTTTTAAATAATTTTATTTATTTAATGGGACAGTGAAGAAATGATAAATGTAATAATAAAAGGCGGCTAATTTATGTTGCCACGGATTAAAAGAGCTTAATGTAATTTATCAAATAGTGGTCTCTAACGGTTTATCAAAAAATGTCATTAACAATTTAATTAAAAAGAAACAAAAGCATTTTGTTCGCAACTCTGTGTACGCCTCAAACACCTCAAAGTGTTCATCGATATGGGAGCAGTTTGAACTACTTAGGCTCCATATCTGTAAAAGTAGCTAATACTCTTCGACAAAACGGCGTTTATGTGGCGTTCAAAACAAACAATTCTCTTAGAAATATCTGTAATAATAAAGATAGGTTGGATGTTCCTCAAAAGTCGTGTGATTACAAACTTGCTTATGATGAATGCCACGCCGTTTACGTGGCTCAGACTGGTCGCAACTTTGAAACACGTTATAAAGAGCATTTAGCCGCGTATAGGAAATGTAATCCCGATAAATCTCATTTTGCTAAACATCTTTTGGACACTGGACACAACCTAGCCAACGACCACTCCTTTAACATCTTACATACGTGCACTTCTTACTAGTTTGTGCATACATGTATTAAAGAGCTGCGACTGTGTGTGCTGTTAACAGTTAGAGATATTAAAAAAAATAGTAACATTGCACTACTGAATGAACAAACAAATGTTTCTAACTCACCTATCCTAAATATCTTTAAGCCTGCTCTCTAATAACAGACAGCCTCGCAATGTGGTCGTTTGTCACCCTCACGGTGATCGGCGATTGGATGTGTAGTTGCGTGGTGCACGGCGTTTAGTTTTTTATTTTACAAACGGCTGCGTAAGTCCGGCGTTGATTGGTCGCATGTTTTATCGCATGACGCGGTCGCTCGCTCTTTAAGTAGGGAGCGGTTGCGTCAGCGGTCTGTATGAATAGCAGTTGTTTTGGCGCGCCACTCACTTAGCTGTCAGCCACCGCAGAGTCTACATCGCCTGAAGATGCCTCGTGTAAAGGCGAAACACGTGTCGTATTGTCATCAGTGGCGTGTCTTTCCTAGTGTAGTAGTGTTGGGAGTAGTGGTGCTGGGATTAGTGGTGACGGGGATAGGGCACGCAATTGAGGGAGGGCGGGAGGTGTTCTTGAAACTAGATAAGACACATCATTTTATATTATCAAGCGCATGTAGGCGAGTTAATTTTTTACCAACTTTCATATAATGGATTTCCTCAAAGTAACGCCTGATTCAATTAATTATCCTCTTTAAGACATTATGAACCCAACTAAATATCTATTTATCAACCAAAATAAATATATAACCTTACTTAACCAACCGCACAGCTTCGCGGTCACACTAGTATAATATTATTATAATATTTATATTATTGTCGATATTCCACGTATTAGAACCAAACGGTTTGCTTCGTATTTTATAATGCGTACAGCAAAGGAGTGAAATAAAGTGCCGTCGTCTATCTTTCCGTCCGAATACAATCTGGGCGTCTTCAAGTCTGTGTTACGCTAAGACATTACTATTAATCATCTAAGTCTGCATTACCACTTATCAGCAGCTCGTATTGTTGTAAAGCATTGGTATTGGTAAAAAAAAAATGTATGTAACTATTTGTGTTTTAGTACTGCATGGTGGCAGCTATCTGTGCTTGTTTCGCACAGAAAAATTTTCAATGAAAAATACAAAAAAGTGTTAGTTGAAAATAAATCTTATAAAAGTAGTTGAAAATTATTTCATTTCTTAAAATTAATTTGAAAGGAATATGTGTGGCATCTGTTGAGGTTTGTCCCTAAATTAGGAATTTGAAAAATTGGTACTGGCAACGCTAATATTTATTTGTCTATGGTCTGGGAGTTTTGGCGGGAAATTGACCGGCGGCGGTTTGCTGCTCCTGTATTATTGTTTAAATAATGGTTTGAAGTGGACTTTGATATGTAAAAGTGTTGCGATTTTGTGTATTAAGTGTCTACGCATGTGAACTATTAGTGGAAACAGTGAAACAAGTGCTCTGATGGTGATGGATTCTCAAGATAAGCTGTTTGTTTGCGTAGGCACCTTTAGATACCATCGCCAACTATCAGTTGTCTGCTGGATCAAGTTGCCGCCAAAATCTCCCAAGAACTGCACAATGTGACGCATCAACATATTGTGAAGCAGTATACTATGAAGGAGTGGGAAAATTACAATAAACCGAATAAAAATACTTAAGACTTGGCCTAAAGGTCTAGATACCAGGCCATAAACTCCAAAAAAAATGTCTATGGTCTGTGCTGTGCTTAGTGTGCTTGTGTTGTGTCATAATGTCATTTTAATACGTTGTTGTTGTATGCTATTCACTGCTGTTTATTTGAAAATTTGAATGGATTTAAACGAAGTTGAAGTGTAAATGTTATGAATTTTATCCTTAAATTTGGTTTCAAAATCAAATAGAATTTAACATGGCTATTCCACCGTTTCCATCACAAGATTTGGCTAAGCTTGTACTTGGTATGTTTTGTCATTTGGCGGGAGCTGTGGTCAATGCATTTTCAACGGATTCTTAGGCATTATATTAATTTGTCTTTTGATTTTAGGATATCTAGCGGAGGAGCAGCTAATGACAGCTTATGATGAATTTTTACAAGCTAGCCCGTATTTAGACGCGCTCGGAAATGAATATGACAGACTTTTTATGACTTCCCTCAAAAATATTCTAGCCGAGTACAGAGCAGTAAAGATTTATGGTTTGTAATTCTTTTTTATTTTGTGGCTCCTCTTGATAGAATTCTCAGTCATGGGAGTTATGCTTAATATACTGAATTTGAATTTTTATGTTGTTGAACTAGTTCAATAGGAAAAACTCAACTGTATAATGCCTATGACCTAATATTTCAGAAGTCTAAGTGTGATAGATAGATGATGCTTTTTGTTTGGTTCATCCTGAATTATCATATTTAGGAAACGCACTGTTGTTGAGATATTTATTTTCTAAATTAACTTATTAGGTCCAGGAAAAAATGGTAAAAAACAAAATTTGTAAATTTTTTGGTTTTTAAATGCATTATGGGTGTTTTTATTATCTTATTATATTATATATATTCAGGCTGAACTAGAGTACTTAGTTTAGTTTTTTAGTTTACAACCAGTTTTTTTCTTACATAATTATGAAATGTCATTTTTAGCTACTCAATTGTCCACGGTGACTACAGTCCCCAAAAACCATTATTGCCTCACCTGTCTAGGCACCAAACGACATCTTTTGGTTTAAACGCTTACAGTGTAAAAGATAGCTGTAATTAAGACAGAAATTTTTTATAGATGGTGCTATATGAAATTTGTTATCTGTGAAAGTTTATCTGTATAATATTAATAAAATATTTAGAAAAAAAAAAGTTAAAATAAAATTTCACCATTTTTGTTTGTGGAATGTTAACGTGTGAGAATTTCGATCAACAAATGTGATAACTTTTCTGTTTTTATACGTTATTTCTAATGTTATTATACATCAAACTAATTGTGAAGATATTTTCTTTAGTAAATATGTATCATTACGATAATTCCAAAACGTTTACATATAATAATTTAGCTCTAAATTTTAATCACTATGTGATCATCGTTTATTGATTATATGTTATTTAAAATGTATTCTAATCAGTTTTTTGTGTTAAATAAATGCAAAATATAAAATAATGATTCACTATTACAAAATTTTCAATTTATAAACAAAATATCTGTTGAGATGTATCTAGAAATTATTAAAACCTATTTTTTCATTTATTTACTTATTTTACTCAAATTTATATTGGGTAAACATTATATACTTATGTATATTGAGTATACAAGATGTTATTGATATTGGTGTCATTTTAAAGGGAATATCGTACTATAATAATATAAAATAATTGTCTCCAGTAAGTATTACACTTTTCTTGTACAATTCGAAATAAAAAATAAATACAATTTTATTGATATTCCCATTTTTAAGCTTTATTTTCAGACTTTATTTTTAATTTGATTAATTTTCTTTTAACAAAATAAAATTTGAATTCTTTGAGTCTTTTGAGAATATTTTTTATTTGAATGTAGCTATAGTAGTTTTTCAGTAGTAACCGTTATTGTTAAGACTGTCTCACGCGGTCGTAAAAAATAGTGATGTTTAATTCGCGGACAGGTCAGGCGAGAATCACTGGCATGGGGCGGGCAGTTGAGTGGTTAGTTGCTAAACACACTTGTAAACATGATAAAATGCATAAATTACTTTAATTAAAATGTGTAGAATTTGTGTAAATGTAAGTAAAAATTATAAAAACAAATATGGTGCAACAGCTTTTTGTTGGATTTTTTTCATAGGATAGGGATAGGTGCAAGGGTGTTTAAAATCAATTATAACAAAGGCTAGCTAATTATTTTTTCTCCATATGTAGTCTGCCGAAGAAGACTAAGAGCTAAAAATTTATGAAAGTGTAATAAGTAGTTTTTCAGTAATCTCCTGTGTACATTATAATCAATATTTCTCTTTTGGATTAACAGGACAAATAATAATTATATTTTTTTATCCAGCTGTTAGGGTTTAACTAGCTACAAAATATAGGTGAAGGTAATTGCGATTGGTTGAATTTAGGTGTATTTTATTTATTTATAGCCAATAGTAGTTCTAGCCAGTTACTAAAGACAGAATAATATGAAATAACTATAACTTTTATCAATTTTCAATCAAGTAATATCAGCATCAGTGGGTAGAGGAGCGGTTGCTCAGAATGTTTCCCTTCTCTGTCCAAATATGTGGTAAATCAGCATTTACATTGCAATTAATAATTTCATTGTTGCTGGTTGGGTTCAATCCCTGAACAACTATGAAAGTAATAATAGAGTATTAGTACTTTACAAAACAAATAAGTGATGAAGTGAATATCACAGAATTTTTACTGCATGCTGAATGTATAAAGCAATTTCTTTTTTTTTTTCAGTGGAATCTTGCAAACCTTTTATACTTAGGAAAAAACTAATTCAATGTAGCAATTTGTTGGAAATTGTTAAATTTTTGATACAAAATGTAGACACAAATAAAATAAGTATGCAGGAGCATAGTTTTGATAGAACAGGGTAAGTTTTTATTATTGTATGTACATCTGCCATAATAAGTATGATGTTAGCTTTAGCTTCAACGAATTGTAACATTTGTCCTAGATATGCATATTTACTAACATCAAAGCTAGTTGCTCTACAATCACCAGTATTTGAGACTGGCTGTTCTCAGAGGCTATGTTTGAGCATTGTCATTGAGCATTTTTCCTCTTCTTTATTGGCCTATAAAAGTTCACTATGCACATGGGCCTATCCTATAGTAGGCAGGATTTGCCTTTAATTGTCATGCTTGACAGGAACATTGTCAATTACAATATATGATGCCATTTTATAAAATTGAAGTGGCAAAAGAACTTACAGTCCATCTGAGGATATAGATATTCTATTTCACGATGAACTGTTGACTTTAGTTGTTGTTAGCCGTGCACATACACATTGTGTTAGTGTGCGTAGGCCTTAGGAGCGCTACTGCCGAGTGCCCGCAGCCTATGCACACTAACACAATGTGTATGTGCATGGCTAATAATAACCAAAGTCAAAACTTTATCATGAAACTAGCTGACCCGGCGAACTTCGTACCGCCTAACAGTCGATTCTTTAATTTTTTTTTTAATACTTATTCTGCTATTCGGGACACTGGGTCAGCTAGTAAGATAAAAAAAGAAAAAGAAAGTTGATAAGTCAACAATTAATGCAAACATTATGGCAAAAAATAAAAATTATAAAACACTTAAAATTCTTTTAATTGTCACTAAAAATCACAATGAAAATTACAATTTCTGATTTCTTATTATGATACCTACTAATTATATTTCATTTTATTTTCACTTATTCTAAATTAAGTTTCCATCATTTGTCATTATTTATACGATGGAAACGTCACTCAATGGTTTTGCCTTCCCGGAACCCCTCCACTAACATTTAAACTTTATGGTTTGGTATTAAGGTTCAAATTGACTTTTAAGTATTATTACGAATCTTTTGTATGGGAATATAGAAAAGTGCTGTTTTTAGCTTTTTCAGGCAATTTTTTAAATTTTTCTCTCCGTAAGAACCATCTTCGTACTTTAAGGAATATTATAAAAAAAGAATTAGCGAAATCGGTTCAGCTGCTCTCGAGATTTGTGCTTAGCAACACATTCAGTGATTCATTTTTATATATATATATATATATATATATATATATATATATATATATATATATATATATAAATAAGATAACTAAGTAGCTACTGCTACCTAATAATTATAATAACTCACTACATTGTCACATCTTTATGTGTTGTGCTACATTATTTTGATCTTGAAACAATTCTAAAATCCTTCATCATCATGGCATTTATAATTAGGAATAAATTCGTTGTGGATATCCCAACTTTTCCTCCAATGTCCTGCACTGATGCACCTTTATAGCTAACAAAAAAGGCTATGGTGACTGATCTGAAATGTAGAATCCAAGACCCTCAGACTGGTGTTTGGCAGCAGCTTTACCAGTTCAACATACTTCCATGTTTTGTGGTCCATAGAATCCAATTTTGCTGTTTTTAAATGGTTCTCCTTGCGAGGGTGTGTGTTTGTATGTTTATAGACTTTGTATCTTGCATATTTTCAGAAAGAATAAGAATGTCTCCAAATCAAATTCACTTGATACCTAATTGCTTAATTTAAAAAGTTATATCATCTAAATAAAAATCAATTGCTGTATGTATGAAAGATCATCATCACTTGAGAACGGCTGGGCTGATTTTGATGCAAGTATTGTGTTTGAGTGAGTCCTTAGATAATTCAGATTCACAAATGAACCCAGTAGGTGGCACTGTAGTTGAGATCAAGAAATCTTGATCTCAACTACAGTGCCACCTACTGGGTTCATTTGTGATTGTGATGAATTCAATGAATCTTGTATATATAATATGTATAAGTTTTCATTGAAATTTAATTTTGAGTGTTTGAATTACACTACTATGTTTCATTCATGGTTGGTCATCGTTGGTTAACAAACAACAAAAATCTACTAAATAACATATTATATTCTTTCTTTAATTTTAGTTCAATTAAAAATGTTAATGCTGTAACACCCAGTTATGTGTCCCAACCTAGTGCACAGTCTAAAAGTCAAATAGAAGCTACTACCCTGGAAAGTTCTGTTGAGACTACATCTTTAGCAGATCTGCCAGGTATGAAATATATAAAATGTAACTACACTTCTAGTAAAATGAATGAATTTATTTGCAAATTATTACTCTTGAAATTGTTTGCTAAGAAATAAAACATAATTTCATTATAACAATAATGTACTCCAAACCGAATTTCGGTCAGTTTCAACAAACCATCTTCCTGACTCTGAGCTGCTACTGAAAATTTCTTGATGGAGAAACCCAATAACTATTTGGCCGACCTGGGATTCGAACCATGAACTACACGTGACAAGTAGTCACGCTTACAACCACTAGGCCATTGATGTAGTCGCGAATTACATTATACAAGATAGAAAAAAGATGAAAAATAAATGCTGACTAGATGAACAAAAATTACTTAGCTTAATATATTAATTTTTACCATGAATAGTTTGGTATTGAAAAAGAACATGCTCGCACAGAATACCAGCTTTACATAGTAGCATAATGTTTTATATGCTTAGTGTAGAAAACTGGACATCCTTTTTACTGGAAACAAAGCATTTCATCTCAGGCCTCAGGGGTGATATCTGCATTTCATTCTTAATCGAGGATAGATTTAGATCTCTATGGGCCATAGCATCTACTTACCATCAGGTGGTTAGTGTGCTTGTTTGTCACCTATGTTCTATAAAGAAAAAAATGATTTTACGCTATTAGTGTGGGAAGTGGCGAGAAGTGGAGACTTTTTACTGGAAATTAATTTCAGGATTGATGGTGTGGGTGTACATGCCCACATCAGTCATGCTCATTTTACCGTTTTCTACAATTCTCCCTAAAGTAGGAGAGACTCATGTTCAGCACTGTTACAATTATTTAAGTTCTGAGGTTATCCATTTGTCTTTGTCAAACACAATGGTTAGGATTTAACCTCAAAATTCACAACACATTTGTAAGGTAACACGTTGTAAAATTGTATTTTGTGACAAGTAAAGGCGGTCTCCTTATTACTGTTATAGTTTCCTTAATTTTGTTTCCAATTAATTACCTTATAAATGTACAGTATTTTAGTACTGAGATGGATGGAGCACAACTTCTGAATCTTAATTAAGGGAATATAAAGCTCTTTAAAATGCTTGGTTTGGTCATGGTTTACTAGCCACACACATTCACACACAAACTTGTCATTTCTTAATAACTAAGAATAAATCTTTTTGTTGTAATTATAATTAACAAAAACGAAGATACTGAAACGCTATATTTTTAATTAAAAAAAAACATTTATTTCTCAAACACTGGATTTTCTCCTGTATCACTAAGGCAGTTTACAGAAAAATTCTTTTTGAGTTATACAAATACTTGTTCCATGTGAAATTCGAATTCTGCAGCTCTCTAACAACTGCAACATTAAACAATACAATATTTCATATACAACCATTTGACTATTGTATGTATGCCATGTGGTTATGATTAAGCTTTTTTAAATTTGTATTCATTGTACTAAATATCATAGCTAGTTTAAAGAAAAAGAATATTCTAATTATTTACAGGAAATGTGACTTCAAAGAGAAAATCAATGAAAGTACTAGATAGAGAGTCTAGGAATTCTCAAACAATTCTTTCAGACAATGAGTTTGATAGTGAAGTAGGACAAAAGGATTGTCCTGAAACTCTTAGTGCTACAAAGAAAACAAACTTACCTGTTGATAACAAAGGTCCAGTCACTGTTAGTGAGCATCCAGTTAATAATCATACAGATGATTTGGTATGTATGATGATATATAAATAAATAGTTTAATAGTAGTATAATTATTGCCTATTTGCAATAAAAAAATATAATGCTATCATAGTTTTAAAGTGTAGACTGAGTGAAATTAATAAAAAGTCATATTGTTAATAAAAAACAACTAATTTTTTAATGAGAGTGACCATAGTGGTCTATGGTCACGTTCATTAAAAATGTAGTGAGGGTGTAACAATATCCACTACTCCATATTATCTCATGGTTGTTGTAAGAGAAGACTGAAAGAAACAAACTAGTAAATGAGCAGTTACATCTTCCATTTGTGTAGGACAGGATTTTAATACATGAGAATGTGGGCAAGCATACACGCACTCTCTATTCCTTCTTTTCGTAGTCCGATGGGACGGCGATCCGACACAATCGGAGAGAGATCAGGCTCAGGAACAATCGTTTGATATGCCGTTGAAATGCTGCCTTCTTCTGACTCCCTTACGCCCTATTTGAAAACCCAGTAAATGATGTTGAGCAGACCCGGGTTTCGGACCCGAGACCACATGATCAACACACGGTTACGCGTACACTGACTAGACCCACAAGGCAGTTATTATAACCACGAACTTATTATAATCACGGTTTGGTGGCAATTCATTGACCACGAGTCGTAATTGCATTGTCATCTCTTAAGTGAGACGTGTGGGAAAACGTGTGTGTAGTAACCGAGCCTTCAGCAAGATATGAGTGGTCTGAAGTAAGATGTATAGACATTGGTCAGTAAACTCCTACATTATTTATAATTATAACGAGAAGGAAAATGAGTCCTACATGACACTGTATAAAGCTCAAATTTTCATTTCATTTTCTATTTCAAATCGAGTTAGTTTTTTGTTACATGTGCCATTATTTATTTTATTTTATTTCAAGCGTTTTATTTATTTTGTGTAGAACAATGTGATTGTAACCATCTTCATGAATCTGTTTTTAAATATTGTATGTCAAGTTGTCAAGTTAGGTAGTAACATGTGCACTTTTATTTCTTTATTATTTCTTAACAAAATGTTTTTAAAAATAGTTATTTTAAATAAAATATATTGCATGGCGAGCGCAAAGCGCATAGGTATGTTCTACTAGTGCCTAAAAATCAAGATTCCAACGTTTTGTCGCATGAAATCGTATCTAGCAATCATATTATACATATAAATAATATAAAAAGCACATTGTCAGAATGATAAATGATTGTTGAACTTATTAATATTTTTTTTTAAATCGATTAATTGCTATTTTTACATAAAAAAGGGGTTTTAGTAGCTTATGGTGTGGATTTATCAAGTCCACAAGGCTTGTAAACACTCTAACTTTTGAAAATATCAATTGTTTAATGCAATCTATTTTTTAATTTCTTCATCTATCATGTGGGAAGCCACTGAATGTAAATGGCAGTGTAATTTTGTTTTGTTTAGCTATAATTATTTTTTTTCAGCTCCAAAATGGCGAAATTTTCGTTGATTTGGTAGCCTTGTGTTAGAATTTATTTCAGTAAATAGAGACTGCCTGTGACTCACTCGCTTAGTTCGGCGTCAACCGCCGTTGTGAGTGGATACTGTATCGGTTGTTTGCAGCGGCTCAAAAAGGTCGCTGTACAAATAAATACAAAATATTCGAAAAACAAATTTCATACATACTTGATTATTATAATAATCAGAGATTTTTATTACAATATTTTAAAAGCACAGAATAAATAATAAGAGTACATACTAAAAGTAAGTAGGATGTAATATTTATACTTGAATACGTCTTGGACATTTTGGAGTGACATGAAATATGATGTGATGATCATATGAGCATTATGAGTCGTGCACTTTGGATTTACCCAACTTTTTCAAATTGAAGTTTGACATAAAATTATCAGAAAATTGGAAGTATAAATATTATTGTTATTAGTGAAAACTTGTGTGTTTTTAAACTACTTTAAAAAAATCCGTATAATCATGCTATACATATTTTTTTTAATGCGAATGCATGCTCAATTGGATTTACCAATAATTTTGTTGTATAATTTTAGGCTAATAGTAAAAAGTGTGAATCCGTTCAGAAAATTGAAGAATTTAACAATATTTTGGAACTTGTGTGTAAAAATGGAAGTGCTACACACAGTAGAAATTATTCAATACCTGATAATGTTAGCAGCCAGCAAAATAGGATTTCAACAGCAGGGACTTTTCAAGAATTTAGTACTGGCATTTATAGTAAGTAACACTGCATCACGCATCACTAGGAATGTACAAAGCACTGTCTTTTTTTTTGTTGATTTAAGGCTTGAACATGGAGATAATGATGTACCTATGGAAAACCATTATATATTAATCTTCTATGATGTGTATTTATTAAAATTTTATTTAACTATTAGGGCAATAAAATAATCTCATAAACTTGTGGTAGAGCTAAGCGGTAGCTTTTGCTGTCGCCCGGATGGGCCATCTCGAACCGGGGTGGTACCACGACCTCACAGAATACCAGCGTGAAGTAGAGGTTTACCTCTGCGTTGCGCTTGGTGAGTGCAGGAGGCCGGAGGCCCAATCCCCCCCAATGGTAGTGGAATTAAATAAAAGACTACCCCAGGAGGATACCAGCACCCCTGGAGAATCCCTCGCTGAGCATCCACGACCAAACTACTTCACTCCTGAGCGTGGGTGCTCAGGCTGCCCCGCGTATTCTGGGGGGGGGGGGGGGGGGAGCAAAATTCCGCTCGCGACTAATGCTGCTCGGAGCAAGCGGAGCAATACAACCATGGCAACCCCTGTCATGCTATACCATTTAGAGACGGCGAAGTATCTCCGGCTGATACTTCATATCTCTCCTACCCGGGGTACAAATTGGAACACTCCTTTGTGCCCCGGGCTGGAGTTTGCGTATACGCCAGAGACGACATCTTTTTTCACCGCCTCGGCAGTCTTGAAGGTACGGACCTGTCCATCCTATGGCTGCGCGTAGACAGCGACGACCATCCCCGCGTCTACGGGTGCCTTTATAGGTCCCATAGCGGTAATGCCGACACAGATCGACTCATTGACCACGTCCAAATGGCTGGAGACTCCGTGCTACAACAGGTCCCATCCGCAGAGATCGTGATATTCGGTGATTTTAACGCCCACCACGCTGAATGGCTTTGTTCTCGTTTAACCGATCATGCGGGTATATCTGTCTATGACTTTGCTTTGGCATATGGTCTAACACAAGTGGTTACTTCGCCTACGCGGATCCCAGATGTGGAAGACCATGTACCCTCCCTGTTGGGCCTTCTGCTGACCTCTCATCCGGACGGATATCAGGTCTCCGTCGATGCCCCTCTGGGCTCTTCGGACCATTGTCTGATCCGGAGTACGGTGCCACTCACGCTCCAATCGCAGTTGCGATCTGCAGCTTGCCGCCGTGTTTGGCACTGTAGGTCAGCTGATTGGGACGGGATGCGGTCTTTTTTGCATCCTACCCTTGGGGGCGGGTTTGCTTCTCGCCGGAAGATCCCAGCGTTGCTGCCGATTCTGTTGCTGATGTGGTACTTCAAGGTATGGAACTTTTTATTCCATCCTCTGTGGTGCCCATCGGTGGCAGATCCCAGCCATGGTTTGGTCGCTCCTGTAAAATAGCATCACGCTATAAGCAGGAGTGCTACCGGGCCTGGGCTGACGCATCAACGTCTCGGGATGTAAACACCAGCGCACTTAAAAAGAAGTATAACTCCGCCTCCAGGTACTTCAAAAGCGTCATTGCCAAGGCAAGGTCTGAGCACATCGGCAGAATTGGCGAGAAGCTAGTTCGCCTTCCTTCGGGAACCCCGTGCATTCTGGTCTCTCGTCAAGGCTGTCCAAGGGAACTTCTGTCAGTCATCTCTTCCATCTCTACACAGAGAGGACGACTCACTGGCCCATGCCACAAAGGAGAAAGCCGATCTGTTGAGCTCTCTTTTTGCGTCCAACTCGACTCTAGATGACGGGGGGAACACACCGTCGACCATCCCGCGATGTGAGTGCTCCATGCCGGATGTGCGGTTTACACAGCGCTCGGTTCGCAAAGCACTCTTCTCCCTGGACGTCAGCAAGTCGAGTGGGCCCGATGGAGTCCCTCCCATTGTGCTGAAGACGTGTGCTCCGGAGTTGGCACCGGTTTTAACGCGTCTTTTCCGGTAGATCTACTCCCAAGGCGTAGTCCCGAATTCATGGAAGACAGCTTTGATCCACCCGATCCCTAAAAAAGGCGACCACTCAGACCCGTCCAACTACAGGCCTATTGCCATCACCTCCTTGTTCTCCAAAATAATGGAATCCATTATAAACTGCCAGCTCATGCGGTACCTTCAGGATCACCAGCTGATTAGTGACCGCCAGTACGGTTTTCGTCGAGGTCGATCAGCTGGTGATCTTCTAGTCTATCTGACTCATAGATGGGCGGAGGCAGTAGAGTCCAAGGGGGCCGTTAATTTGGACATAGCGAAGGCCTTCGATCGGGTCCGGCACAAAGCGCTTCTTTCGAAGATTCCTTCCTATGGGCTTCCCGAGGAATTGTGCAAATGGATCACCAGTTTCCTTGCTGATCGGAGCATCAAGGTCGTAGTAGACGGTGCATGCTCTGATTTCAAGCCTATCAACGCTGGTGTTCCACAAGGCTGCGTGCTATCACCAACGCTGTTTATCCTGCATATCAATGATATGTTGCTAACTGGTAGCATTCATTGTTATGCATACGACAGCACTGGTGATGCCTTATATACCGGCCGTGCCAATATTTCTCGGGAAAACGTCGCTGAGTACCGGGACAAACTTGTGTCTGAAGTCGAGTCTTTGCTTAACAAAGTCTCGGATTGGGGCCGACTAAATCTAGTCCAGTTCAATCCCCAGAAGACACAAGTTTGCGCGTTTACCGCTAAAAAGAACCCCTTTGTCGTATCTTCTAAATTTCAAGGCACTCCCCTTGCTGCCTCAGCTAGTATCGGAATCCTGTGGTCACTTGGTAGGGAAGGCCAAATTGGCCTCTAAAAAGCTTGGCGTGCTCAGCAGAGCGAGACAGTATTTCATGCCGGCACATCGCTTGCAACTTTACAAAGCGCAAGTTCGGCCCCACATGGAATATTGTTCTCATCTCTGGGCCGGGGCACCCCAGTGCCAGCTCCTTCCACTTGACCGCATCCAGCGCAAAGCGGTTCGAATCGTCGACGACCGAGTTCTTTCTGATCGGCTCGATACACTGGCACTGCGTAGAGATGTTGTATCTCTTTGCGTATTTTATCGCATCTATCACGGGGAGTGCTCTGAGGAATTGTTCGGACTAATTCCAGCCGCTCAATTTCACCATCGCACATCGCGACAAAACTCGCGTTACCATCCATACCATCGGGTTGATTGGCGGTCCACCACTGTGCGATTTAGAAGTTTGCTCCCTCGCACAACTTCCTTGTGGAATCAATTACCACCAGCGAATTTTCCGGACCGATACGACTTAGGAACCTTCAAGAAAAGAGCTTACTTACACCTTTCTAAAAGGTCGGCAACGCATCTGCAATTCCCCTGGTGTTGCGGTTGTTCATGGGCGGCGGTAGTCACCATCAGGTGAGCCGCATGCTCGTTTGCCCCGTCTTCTATTAAAAAATAAATAAAATAAACTTCATTTATTAACACATTATTGATTTTTCTTTAGTTGTTTGTTCAGTATGTATTTGCTGTTATTGTTAATAATTGGTTATCATTATCATTTTTTACTTTTTGTTCATATTTAAAAATACACAATTGAAACTTTTTAAAACACCATAATTGTTTTAAAAAGTTTCAGTTGTGTATTTTTCAGTTTTGCTTATGAAAAAAAAAATTGCAGCTTGTTGAGTCATGAATAAATAATTTACTTCCTTTTTTACTTCTCTCTCATGATTTAATTTTAACTTTTTTTTTGAAGATGGCGATAAAGTCAATATACCTGTTACCAATCCTGCTGAAGTTAATAAAGCGCTGTGAGTACATAAACATTGTTTAATTTTTTTTTGGAACAGTGAAAGCTGTGTAATGGCGGCGTTAGAGAATCCACGATTGTTATTCTATTTCACGATGAAATTTTGACTTTGGTTGTTGTTGCAGCCATGCACACCGGCCTCGGGAGCGCTACTCTCGAACGCCCCGAGCGCCTGCAGCCTACGCACACTAACACAATGTGTATGTGCACGGCTAACAACAACCAAAGTCAAAACTTAGTCGTGAAATAAAATAACTATACCTCATATCATCCCTTGGGTGTCGTAAGAGACGACAGAGAGAACAAACAGAATATGGGCAGAATAAATTGCTATTCTGTCAAGCTAGACAACTGGCAAATATCTTCCGTCCTCCATGGGGCAATTTATGGGGGAGGACTATGTTCAGCTGTGGATTTTTGACAGTGAATAAATGAAAGGGTTTTTAAAGTTATGTATATTTTTTAAACGTGAACCTATTCAACATAGACCGTACAACGGTTCCAAAGAATTATATCATTAACTCCTAGTACAGACACTATTTCTACATATCTCAAACTGATTTTTGAGTATGAACATTTTCAAGGTGGTTGGGCTCTTTTTGCTTTTTGCTGATCTGATGAACTTGCTTGTTATTGTCACTCTCAAAATGTTGTTTTTTTTTAGATAGAAATATTCACATTGTTTCAAATTGTTTCACATTTCACAATACTAATTATAAAGGTTAATAAAACCTTTATAGCAATGTCGTAATCGACATTACTTTTTTATTGAATATGATTAACAAATGAGCACACAGTCCAACTGATGGTAAGGGGGTGTGTGGCCCCATAGACATCTATACCTTCATTAAGAATCAACATGTAATTGCGTTGTGACCCCAAGGTGAAATGTCTTGATTCCAGTGAAAAGGGATTCCATTCACTCACCATACGAAACACAGCAGCATTAAGCTGTGTAGACAATCAACGGTCAAGTCGACCCATTTGTGCTACAACTAAAATATATTTGCAGTATGGCTTTCATGCATAAGTAACAGAGAAAATATAGATAATATATACACATATACCACTATTCTAAAGGCCCAGACCATATTGTTCCTACATGTATCCATAAAAACTACAAGAGTAAATATATTTGGCATAAATTGCACAGATATATATACAACAATAATATTAGTATTTTTTTTTATAGGATCGGGTGACAATCGAGCACACAGTCCACCTGATGGTAAGTGGTTACTGTGACCCATAGACATCTACATCTATCCTCAATAAAGACTCAAGATGTAGATGCGTTGTCACCCGTGAGGACTAAGATGGAATGCCTCTATTCCAGTAAAAAGGGTCTCCGGTTCTCTACACTCACCATACGAAACTCAGCAGCGTTAAGCTGCTATTTTACGCTGGTTTTCTGTGAGAGCGTGGTCCTTTCCCAGTCGAGCCGACCCATTCGTGCTACAACTATAATATAGCTGCAGTATGGCTCTACCACGTAGTACCTGGGCGACTGAGCTTTATCAAAATTTATGTTAATTATTTGTGTGAATCTTCCCTACAATGAGAGTGATCCATCTTCAGCAGTGGATAAACATTCTAATAACTATATACAGAATGTTATACATAATTGTTACCCATTTTTTCGAGAAACCAATAACAAACACATAACTAGTTAGCTCTGCAGACACTGTTCTATCTTTTCTGGTAGTTGGCGAAATTAGTTTCACTATGAATTTACTTAAACTATAAAATGTATTAATACCTTACCACAAGGCCCATGAAGCAAATACAAAGAGGAGACGGCATAAGCAACTGTGCACTGTGATTCTAAGTAGGTCCTGACGTCATTATAGTGGGCGTGGCTTTAGTTAGTATACTGTCAGCATTCGTCCTGTGCGCTTGTGTTGAAAATCTCAAATCGGTATATTTTCGTATTATTAAGAAGAAAAGGATGAAGTGTTGTGTTTTATCGTGTAAAAACTAATCAGATAGACGCTCTGGATGGCATCACATTTCATTTGTAAGTAATTTTACACCTAATTTATTAATATAGTTCTAGAAAAATCTCTTTGCGTCGGCTTTCAAATATAATTAAATATATTCGACACTAGATGGCGACACTATGTGTCAAGTGAACTAAAAGTATAAAGGTATGTAGAGCTCATTATTGGTAAAATAATCATACGAAGGTGCTGAAATTTGTTTTGCATTCAGACATAAAGAAATTTGAATCGCCAAAATATTATTTTTATAGTTTATAATCATTTTGTGAACAGGCCGCCATCTATCGTCAAGGTAGCTAAACTACTACATTGCAACATCGATATGGAACGATTCGAGTAGTTTTACTATTTATCGGTAGATATAGATAGTGTAAAGTGGGCGGAGATTAACATCCCCTCACCCCGCAAATTGTCACGCGTTATTACATAGTGAAATCTAATTACAACACTTTGTTTTTGCTTCATGACAAGGCCTTCTTTGTGATTTTATTTTTGGCTCCAAAGCAATATAATATATTGTGTATTGAACAATCACTTAATTGTGAGTAAAATTTATATACCGTATAAAACTAAATACATATAATTACTTATGAAATATGTTTATTTCAGGGCGCCATTAAGCAAAAGAAACAACAATACTTACGTAAATATTGGCTCAATAAATGGATCAGATTTGAAATCTAAAAACCATTTAATATTAAAAGTTGAGCCTACGCAAAACCATCAAGGGTTCCCAGTACAAATGAATTTGACATCTACATTTACACATAACAGTAAAGTAAAGCAAGTGAATACACAAAAACGTGAAGAGCAAAAAATAAAAATATTGTCTGATGTTAAAGTTGATAACGCATACAACAGTATCGGTAGACCAAAAATGCCTCCCGTTTTAAGTAACGCTACCTCAACGCCGTTAGTTGAAACAATTCTGATAAACGGGACCAAAGCATATAAAAGCAAACCACAATGTGCGTTGAACTATAATTATACAAAGGATGAAATAATGGCCATGCCTACATTAATTCTCTTGCCTGCAACATCGGGTGGGTTTTTCTTAAATATTTATTAATATGTTGATATACGTTACGCCGCATGGTGGATGGATTTTATCGTATCGTGTGATGGCTCACAATATTTCGTTCCGGGGGTAACTATGGTGCCTCCTGATGGATGACGGTGTAACAGTTTTGAAGGCTGGTGACGGAAAGCAGCATTAATGATGCGAGACATCTGGTACGATCGCCATTTCACCTGCCAAGAGTGGCGATTACAGAAAATCTTTTTTATTATTTATTTATTTATTTCATTCTTTTTAAGAAAGGATACAAAGGGCGGACTTCATGCCTATAGGCATCGGCCGTGTGGTGGGTAAGAATATCGATCACCTCAATCCTTCCCGTGGGTGCCGTAATAAGCGACTATGATAGGGATGGCCAAGGGAAAAATATATCAATATACAGGCTGTTTGTGAAACGCTCCCTAAAACGAAAACAGTCAATAGTACTAAAGATAGATATGTAGATGTAGATGATAGACCTTTGATGATGAGTCAGAAAAAAAATCGATCCTGAGGAAAAAAAATCGGCCTAGCACAACGATTTATTAGCTTTATTCATGCTCCATCATGTTAGTACAGGTAAATGAAACGATAATTTCATAAAAAAAAAATCATGAAAATACTTAAACATAAAACCAGCAGTGGAACTTAAAATAAAATCAGCTGCCAATAGGGTCAATATTCGCGCAGAATTGACGTCGAATCAGCGTGGCCTGCTGCTAGCAATCGTATCAATACCTAATTATTTACAACACTTGTCTAAATACCTAACTTATCTACTTAACTCACTATTTTGCCACTGTGCTAGTCTCCATCTAGCCACTTTAATTCGAATTCACAGGTTAAATAAACCAAATACCTGGTTCGATTCTCCGCTAATGAAATATTTACTTAAATGAAATTTTAACAACAATAGAGTATTTTATCCATCATATCCATTTTTATCAATAGCTTTTTTATCCCTGTATGTTTATTATTCTGATGTATTCAGTTACGTACCTATTCAGATCAGCTCAGTACTAAGTTATTAAAAAAAAATAGCTATGAAACAGCTTACCGGTCTGAATTCTCCGTGGCCTTAAGAGATTCTCCAAGGCATATTAACATGTTGCCATATTCACAAGCACTATAAATGTACGCGTTAGGCATTATTAAAACAAAACAAGAAACACAAAACGTAACATAACAACAAGTAATAACAACAAGAATTTAATAAACAACACGATTGAACTGTCGCTCACGCGCACGTGATAGTCAACACGGAATTGTCTCAAAAACTAAAAAAATAATGTTTCCCCCCAAAACTAATGCCTACCGCTAAGTGCTTGCGTCCTTACGTCCTTGCGGTAAGCACTTTGTTCGTTTCCACTTTACCGTTCTTTTGCCGAAGTTAGTTGGATCAAAACATTCATCAAAACAACCTGCAATATTTATAAAAAATGGAAAAAATAATAAAATACGGATTTCAATCAGTTGTCAATAATATTTTACGTGGCCAGAACGATGAAACAGGAAAAGAATTATTTCACTCTAATCATGTCTAACCTACCTTACCTAAGAAGTACCACAGTATCTGCATTTATATGCATGCGGTTATCTGCTTTAACATTAAAAAATAAAGAAATGAAAAGCATTAAATGATACACAAATTTGCCGAAAATTAAATGTAGTGCAATGAAGATAATTAAAAAAAGGGAGTCATTCGATATTCATGAGTAACCTAACAAAAATGTTAAAATAAGTATTTAGATTTCTTGAAAAAAGTTCTGACTTGTCCCGGCCTATCGATTTTTAAAATGCCCGCATTTTCACCGCATAATACCAATACCCATAAAATCCCCAACCAACTTTAAATTCTCTGCAATTTGGGGAATTCCCCATATGTTGGCAACGCTGAAGCGAGGCGACATGAGTCGGCTGGGCGGCGGCAGCGCGTGTGTGAAAGGGAAGGGTAGAGTGAGTAGTAATACCTAATGCATTGTTTCGTACCGAGCTAGATAAGAGTTCGGCATCCGCGCGAATGTTGACCCTAATCAGCTGATTTATTAATTTTAAACTCCACTGCTGGTGTTAAAAGTATTTTGATGATATTTTTTAATGACATTATCGTTTTATTTAGCTGTACCAAAGTACCAACGTGATGCGTGAGTGTGAATAAAGCTAATAAACCGTTGCGAAAAGATCATTTTTTTTTCCTCGGGATCGATTTTCTTTCTGACCCATCATCAAAGGTATCGTTAGTACTATCGTCTGTCTTCGTTTTCGGGAGTGTTTCACAAAGATCCGTATCGTATCGATATTTTTAAACAGTATCTATATATATCGCGTGATAAATATCGATATATCGTCATCATTTGCATGATGTACTAGGATTAGGCCCAAAATTTAATTACTGACTGTTGGACGACGAAAACAAAAACGACAACCGCACATGAGTGCTTTTGTAGCTGCTTTGTGCTTTTTATGTTTTGATTATTAATACAAAATTATAAAATATATCGAAATTGATACGAATTAGATCCATATATCGCGTTTTAAAATATCGACGATATATTTCGATATATTGATATTTTTTGCCAAGCCTAGACTGCAAATAAAGCTAGATAGCGGTGTAACCATGTTGTTTACGCCGGACGTAAAATACCCAGACCGACGATGGACAGCAGCGTTGAAGGTGCGAGACGTCTGGTACTGCAAACTACAATCCATTTGCCAGAGACAAGGCAAATCCTTCCCACAAGGGCCTATGTCCAGCAGCAGATTTGGACGAGCTGATGTTGAGGCATGACCAATGTCCCATTGGGCGGATGATAAAAACAAAAATGATTCATAACATCGTTCAGCATTCAAAACCAGGAACGTGAAAGTTAACTTATTTTTTAAAAATTGCAATCTTAACCCTTTTTGAAATGGATCTGAGTTGCTTTGTATAATTAGTAACCATATTAAACGTAATTCAGTTGTTGTTATTCTAACGTAGTCTCTTGCCACATTCGAAAGCGTAGCGGGATATTTACTGTTGTCATAAGCACTGACCTCTATACATGGACTGGCTATACACCGTGACATAATGAGGCGATTTGATATTCGCCATTATGGCACTGACAGCAGAAGTGAACGTCCAAGGGGCTAATAATAGAGATAAGACTATGACAAAATATATCGATAAAAATTCTATACTCAGGTCTACTCGTAACGTCCATTCTATTTATGTATCATATTAATATAATGCGATACAATTAATAAATCTATCAATTAATACATAGGCCTTAGACGCAAGCTTAATACCTCATATATAATTAAAAATTAAAAATTTTGTACAACCCGTTTCAATATACATTATTAAGAATAACTCAAAAACTATTGGTCAATCAAATTTATATGGGACCACATGGAAAGCATCATCGAAATTGGTTCACCCAGTAACAAGTTATGAGGTACACACATAAAAAAAAACATACAGTTGAATTGGGTACCGGCTGCTTTTTCAAGTCGGTAGAAAACCAAGATCGACGCTGCGTTGGTCTATCTACGTTTTCATTAATAACCACAGAACAGATTTTGTTCGGGGTTTCAAATGAGGAAATGCCTACGCATACCCGCTTCGCGGGGGCAAGAACGGATTGTCGGACTCGCACCTACTAAAACCCCATGGTGTTCTACCTTCGCCACACATTGGCAGGGCCACGGAAAGCTTTCAAACACATCCGCGACGCCATCAGCGAGGACCCCTCCTGACTTCGGCACATCGCCATACCAACAGTCCTCTTCCCTTGCGACTCTACCTCGGCTGCAGCGATACAAAGACAGGACTCTCCTCTAGCCGCAGCCCACTAACACACATCCAAGGAATCGACAAGCCCACTCATAGTGGCAACCTTGGACTAGCCCTTCACCTACACATGGCTGGCCTGAATTGTACCATAGGTTACCAAGCCACGGCTAGTAACCCCCTCCCCCCACGACAAGGCGGAAACCCGTTCTTCCGAGGAGCTATTTTGCACCTAAACTCACGCAGTTTCAATGCAGTCCCAATATAAACTTGTTCCCTTGATATAATAAATTGGTCATATCTAAACAGATTTAACAAATTTACGTCTAGTAAACACAAAATTATCATTAGGCGACTTTTCTACACTTAGCTATGGCCTTTGAATCTGGGGGAAAATAAGGAGAAAAGAAATAAAAAAAAAACTTTCGAGATAATAATCTAATACTTTTATACTTACTGGTACTGAATACCGGTACTACCAGAAAGTATTGTGGGTATACTGCACTTTTTCAAAGTGGTGCGTTTCTCGTGTCTATTAAAATAGTCGTGTGTAAAGTGTTTAGAACAAAGATCTTGTTTGGGACACCAATTCACAATTTTATACTTTTTATCCATAATTTTAGTCTAGGATCAGTTTGAAATATTTGATAATTATCTGTTGTCGGCCATTTTGGTTGTTAACAGATATGGGTAGAAAAGAACATCGACAACCCTATTTAATTTTATTGTTTATCAAAGGTCAATAATATAAAGCCAAACATGTTGGTAATTACGATATTAAGATTAGTAACAAATTTTTAAGTACCTATATTATTAAATAGTTGTAATTTGTTTAATATTATCTGTAAATTCACTTACTTATGGATTGTTATCCCACTTTCCTTTTGGTAATAAGTTTTACAAATTACGCACACTCATTATTACTAAAAATAATTCTTATTATGTAACTAAAATCAAATATTATTAAACCACATAAAATACTTCAATTTTTTAGTTTAAAAGTTCAAAATACAGATATACGATTTAAATAACACAACAAACTTAGGCATATGTCAATTTTAGTTCCCGGTACGAACAATGAGGGCGCTTCTAATCGGCAGAAGTATTGTGTATAGTATAGCCAGTTCAGCGTACTTGTATTTATAGAGGTCAGTGGTTATAAGGCATTACGTCTGCTCTTTGTAGATCAAGGTTATCTTAAATAAGTCCTGTGAATGATTTAAGTCCATTTCATATTATTAGGATTGTAGATATAGACATATTATATAATGATTAACCAGGTTTTTTTAAAATTACCTTTAATAGTTTACGTTGATTCTTTGTTTTAGGAAATGCACAAAATACAACAGAATCACAACCCATAATGGAAATGTCCACAAGCAGTAGTATTACAGCTTCAACAAACTCCGCCCAGAATATACTTAGACCACTTACGATTGATGTTTCATCTAATATCACTGCTCTGAATCTCAATTGTAATAAAGATCCTACAAATAAACAAAATAATGAACAACAAAATAACGAACCAAACCATGTAAGCGAACAAAGTCTCGTCAAAACAGTTGAGTTGACTGGTCATGTTTCTGTCCCCAAAGATACACATTCAACAACAGGAAAAACAAGCACGCCGCAGGGCATGCCTCCTAAAAGGAAGTCTTCATCAACTCCTCGGAGAACTTCCCATGTAAGAGTTTTAGATTTTACCACACCTAGGAGGATATTACATGAGACAATAAATGAGCAAAGTTCTAATAAGATTTGTGCTGTCGAAATCGAGCACATCGGAACGCCTAATGTACCATGTAAAGAATCCAGTGAAGATGATAAACCTGTTGTCATCGAAAAGGTTTCAGATATTGATACTGTGGCTTGTAGTAATATAGGCAGTTGTTCGGCAAAGGAAAATAAAGTTGTTTTCAGTAAAAAAGGTAATTGGGATGCTGATTTACGGGCTTTAGTAAATGTTGGCGAAATTGATAATTCAATGAGACCACCGTCGAAGTCGAAACATAAACCAAAAGTTAAAAATACCAAAAAGAAAAATTCAAATGAAAATAATTCAAACAAAGCCATAACAGCAAATGAAAAAGTCGACAAGAAGTCAAGAAAGGGTTTGTCTAAACTAAAGGGCAATAAAAATAAATCTAAACCAAAAGATGATGAAGAGGCTGCAGAGATTTTATGCAAAAGCGATGAAAAGGTGCCCATTGCTATCAAACCAACCATTAATATTATAACTAGTAATGAATGGAGTATAAATAACCACGAAAGTGAAAAAAATCAAAGCAAAACTAACACCAGCAATGAGCGAATAGATACTCCAGAAAATGATAGAATTGCGTTGCAGAATGTAATTGGAGCCAAACTTAATATATCAGATCTTTTAGAAACTCCTTACAAGCAAGCGCTTTATGACATACAAATGGAAACTCCAAAGTTTTTAGGTCCTGATTTACCCGATGAACCAATTTCAGAAGTTAAAATTATGAATATACCTACACCACGATTTCTCTGTAGCCCTAAAGGTACACAAGCTACACCATCTTCCTATTCTTCAAGACCTACTGACTATTCTAGTGGTGGATCTTATTATAAACCGGATGATCAAGATTATGTTCTTTCTACAGAAGTTTTAGAGTGTCCAATCAGTATAGAAGAAAAATCTAAAACATCACAGCATGATGGACAAAAATTTAAAAAACAGATCTTACATAGTGATATTAAAAACAATGAATCGAAGTCCACTCGACCAGTTAGACAATGCACCAAAAATGTTTCTTATTTTAAAAATCAAAATGCAAACAAAGTTAAAGAAACTGAAGAACATTCTGAAAACAGTGATGCAACTACAATTAATAGTTCTTTTGATAATAAATCAGATAAACAACTCTTTTCTAAGAATTCCACAGAGCGCGTAACTAAGTCTAAAAGAAAACCAGAAACAAATAAAAAAATAAGTTTATCCAAAAAGAATAAATCACCCATAAAAAGAGAAGCATCAAAAAGTTTTATGAAAATAAAACCGAGACGATCTACACCAATCAAAGAGACAGGAGGCAAATCTAGAAAAATATTTGACTCTTCTCTAAATAAACAGCAAAAAAAATTAAATAATAAGTTTAAAAACACCGATTTAACTCCTGTAACTGCTTCAGTCCCTACGAAATCGCGAAGAAAATCATCAACGCCCAGAAAAGTTCATTGTACAGAAACTTTCAATTCTGAAAGTTCTGGCAATAATTCTCCACAGGAGATTACTAAATCAAAACAAATGACTCAAGACATTCGAGCCTGTTCACAAGATTCTGATGTTGAACAGTTACCTCTTCGTTGGTCAGATGATGGTTCTCAAGATGGAAAGTCGAAGGAAAATCTTGTAAAATTAGAATCCGTAAACGATAGTGATGATATATCAAAAATAAAAGAGTACATAGAAACATCTGTGACCAAAGATTGCGAAGGCAGCTGGCATATTGATTTAATTAAAAGAGGTTTTGATGCTGAAACAGCAAAAATCATTGAACGAGATTTGCTTGATTCACCTCGCCAAAATCAAGAAACAAACTCACACTCACTTGTTTCAGAAAACTCGGAACTTAAGAATCGCATTTCATTAGAAGATAGTGCTAGAACTTTAAGTAGTACCTCAGTCAATCTCGAAATAATTGAAAACGACGATGATAATGAGGAAATAGAACTATCTGTACATGAATGTAATGAAGATACTACAAATTATATTAAACTTCAGTATGACTATTCAAACTGCATAAGTGTGCAAGAGCAGGCAGCAAAGCTGAAGGATAAATTTTCTATGGAAGTTTGTATAGAAGATGGTGTTACTGTACGGTTGAGAGCTACACCATTTAGTGTATTGCTTGACCAAGATCCGCAAGATATGGTCACGAATGATTATGTTAAGGAGACTGAAATAGCTGTTAGTTCGATATCGAATATTGACAAATTGTACACACCAATGAAAGATCCTAAAGCACAAGTTTATGAAATATTTGACTCTACATTGACTAGTTTAGACACACCTTTGAAGTTAAACAGTCCGAGAATGCAGGAGTGTGAGTCAGTAGTAACCGAAGTGGCGGTTGAGGTTGAACAGGTGGAGTACAAAGAAAAAATTGAAGTAAAAAAGAGGAAACGATTGCAAAGCGGAACCTCTTTAGACGAGTCAACAAATAACAGTAAAAAAGCGAAATCGGATACAAGCTACTTACTTAATACGGCAAATATACAAAATATAGATATAGAATCCGTTTTAAGTAAGTTACATGGCCCATGAGAATCTCTGTTTCATTTTATTTCTGCTCATTATGTTGAACATATGAATATTTATGTACATAGGAATAGACGTTATTTTTAAGCTATTATCATTAAGATTTCATGTTATGTTTAAACACTAAAATCAAGAAATACATAATATGTTACTGTAGTATGTGTAAGACACATTATAATTATTATTATTGCATTAAATGATTGTGGTTGATTTGTACGGTTCAATAACTATCGATGTATTACGTATTTCATTCATGGAATGTGTTGTACACATTGGCATTAAAAATGTATTTTATTGTTCTAGTTTTATTGCATCGATTTAGGCTTATATTTTCGTCAAATATTGAATTATGGCGCAGAATTAATCCTGTTTTGGTTTTCGGGTACTGTTTGTGTTGTAATCGCCCTCGTATCTCTGGTGTCTTCTCCTGACTTAGTTTCGAGCTTGTATAAGGATTACATCGGGCAATGGTAGGTTAGGAGGAATGTCTGTAAGCTAGTGCGCATACTGGTGACACTTTAATATTTAATGCGGAGTTCATAGTTTATGACAGTTTTTGGAATAATTTTCGCCGTGGTTGATCTTAGTTCGAGCATATCATAGAATGTCTGTTAATATGTTTCATGTAAATATGTGATAATGTTCCATGGCGCATCCATAGTCGCCAGAGCCAGGCCTGACTCACTCCGCGCTTTAGGCATGAAAATATAGCTACGCTGCGCGATCCCCTACAAGGGGCTGATTACGGCTAATTACGCGCGCTCTCGAGCTGACACGCGCCTTATGTTAACAATAAGGTATTTTTCTCTTAGGAGTATTTAGTCACTTAATATTTATTTTTGAGTTTTTATTCAAGTATGACCTCTCAAAAAGCCAAAAGGTACTGCATACCATACGGGTGCTTAAATAACAATAGGAATGTCGACTTATCATTCTTTACTGTTCCTACGGAATAAATAATAGTACAATAGCTGTTCCTAAGGATACCGAAAGGTAAAATATTATTTTTTATAGGTAGTTATAGGGGTATTGTTTTAATTTATTTGTATCCTGAAATGGAACAATTATCTATTTGTTTATTTGTAGGCCACACAAACACTTTTGGTCCGTGCGGGATTCGAAACTTTGGCGCCACAGTGTCGCTGCTAAGCTAGATAACCACTGCGTGCAACCACATGCCGTCCTACAGTATAAATTGTGACAAGTGAACCAACTTCATTGTGACACTATGCGCACGCAACATCCTAATTAACATCCATAATTTAATGAAGACCTTTTCGAAATAATTCATCTCTTACTTAGAAACAATACAGCCATTAAGAAATAAAATTTGCCTAATCTTCTTTATTTTGTGCCATAATGATGCCGATCGCGTAACGACATTTTAATGATGACCGCGAGGTCCTCGAATAGAGCATTAGGATACCTGCCCGCCGAGTTTTCGCCCCTGAATTTAAGTACTTCAGTAACAGTTAAATTCGATATTGATTTCTGGGTCTAGGTCTTATTTTTTGATAATTAGGTACCTAGTTACTGACTCCATAGTTACAGATTCATTATTTGATTAGCAATACTTTTATACGTGGTAGAGCCATGCTGTAGCTGTATTAATAGTATAGTTGTAGCACGAATGGGTCGGCTCGACCGGGGAAGGACCACGCTCTCACAATACATTGAACAATAATGTTCTTATTTTCAGTAAATTAGTAATACATTGCATAACCTCGGTTTATTCTACTGCCAACTAATATCAAAGGATTTAATTTGTTTTCTTGTGACCTAACACTATACTAGGGGCGACCTTACAGTAAAGGCGCGTAACGGGCTAAGTAATACAGACTCGCCGCGGACGTGAGGTGCATTTTGAATTAATACGCGCGCCGAGACAATCGGTAGGCTAATTTAACGTAGAGCGCATACAACGTGTGCAAAGTATTATGAACATTAGCTACGTTGTAACTAGGTTTAAACTCGCAAGTTTGCTATCAACAAGTGATTTTTCTGTTCTTGTACTATTATTTATTCTCTGCCAGAGCTTAAAATTATAATATCTGGCATTGGAAATATATAATTCCTTGTAAACCTTTGTGTACCTTTTTAGCGTATTAGGAGCTCACTCTGAAGCACGGTCTGTGAGGTCGGTGGATCTGAGACAGCTTTGCTATAAGTATTCTACGGTTTCTATATTTAATTCATGTTTTTTTTCGGCCCGTACTGAAGTGCAAAAAACTGGGTTTGAAAACTGGTTCCTAATTTTGTATATTACATTGTATTATATGTTCTGTCTCCCGAAGGGGCGAGAAGTGAATTGCGGAACCCGTCTGGCTACGCTGAATGTATAAGGAGCAATGAATGATAAGATGGATTAAGTATGCGAAATTATGTATGAAAGAGGAATAAATGTGTTACGAGGGCTGCACTAAAAGTATCGGGAATAGAATATTTCCACTGTTCCTGTCATATTAAAATCTTTTTAATTGAAAAGTCCTTGGTTTTAAAAATCGAATACCATTTATTTATTTAAAAAAAGATTCTCGGTCTTGCCACAAGGTTTGTCTCTGTTTGTTTTTTGTCTGGTTTGTTTGTGTCTGGTGGTTGCCACAAACTTATTTAGTCGTTGAGAAAATGGAATTGACTCGAGAAAATTCAAGAGCGATGATTTATTATGACTTTCGAAGTGGTTTAACACAAAAACAGTGTGTTGACTGGATGATTTCTGCATTTGGTGATGAAGCCCCATCCAAAACCACAATTTATCGCTGGTTTGCTGAATTTCAACGTGGACATGTCAAGCTCAGTGATGATCCCCGTCAAGGTCGTCCAAAAACTGCAGTCACTCAAGAAAACGTTGATGCTGTGCGTAAGCTGATTGAGGAAGATCGACATGTGACATACCGCGAAATTCAGGCAACTTTAGACATTGGCACGAGTCAAATACAAATAATCTTGCATGAACAATTAGGTGTAAAAAAGTTGTTTTCCCGATGGACACCGCATTCGCTCTGAGAAGAGCAAAAAGCGGCTCGTGTTACTTGGTGCGTCAGAACTCTCGAAAGATTCCACGCAGGATCCTCAAATGCTGTATACAACATCGTATCAGGTGACGAATCCTGGATATACGCGTATGAACCCGAAACAAAAAACAAGTCACGAGTTTGGGTGTTCGAAAATGAGTTAAAGCCAACAAAAATTGTTCGTTCACGGAGTGTTGCAAAAAAAAAAATGGTGGCCACGTTTGTCTCCAAAACCGCCCATGTTCCTCTTGAGGGACAAAGAACGGTTAATGCAGAATGGTATGCTAGCATTTGTTTGCCACAGGTCGTTTCTGAACTCCGTAAAGAGAACTGCAACCGCCGCATCATCCTCCATCACGACAATGCGAGTTCTCACACCGCACACAGAACAAAAGAGTTTTTAGAGCAAGAAAACATAGAATTATTAGACCATCCGCCGTACAGCCCCGACCTAAGCCCTAATGATTTCTATACATTCCCTAAAATAAAGAATAAATTGCGTGGACAGAGATTTTCATCACATGAAAAAGCTGTGGACGCCTACAAAACGGCCATTTTGGGGACCCCAACTTCCGAATGTAATGGTTGCTTCAATGATTGGTTCCATCGTATGGAAAAATGTGTCAAATTTCGCGGAGAATACTTCGAAAAGCAATAAATACATTTTTAAATAGTAATGTTGTGTCACTTCCTTGATTCCCGAAATTTTCAGTGCCGCCCTCGTATGTGTAAATTAGACGAAACGGAAGGGAAAGGATGTTACTGCATATGACATGTATAACGTTTGCTGGTCTGGTGCAGGCGAGACCGAGCGGGCATGCCAGGGAGTCTGTATCGTCCTTCAGAAAGAATGGGTGTGAAAGAATATGTATTTGTAAGCCGGAGGCTGCTATGGAAACGGATGAAAGTAGGCCTAAAGAAGTTGTATGTTCTAGGATTGCAGCCCCAGACATGTCTAGCCCACCTACATCCGTGAGAAGTTTTGGGAGATGGTAAGGATTGTTAGAATTAAATATTAGGGAAATTAAAATATTATAATGTAAGGATATTTTAATAGGATGGTTGGGGTGAAGAGGTCTGGTTATTAAAGGATATTGGGAACGTTTGGTGATGAAAATATCGATGAGAATGGTGAAAGCTTTCTCATTTCATGTGTAGAAAAAATCTTGTGACGAATATTAGGTCTTGACTAACCTATGAAATCAACATTTAATAATGAAATAAGTTAACGTCTTCTTTTCTATATATTTTTTTCTATTAATCTAAATAATCACCCATGCAATCGATGCATCTTTGCCAACGCAGCGAAAGTTAATTGTCGCCCTTTTTGAAGAAATCAATTGGACGTAAGGCAACACATTCTTCAAAGGCATTTTTTTGATATTGAATTTTTTTCTCGATAAAAGTTATCCAAATTCTGGCCAAATTAGAAGTCTGTATACGCAAGGTCTGGTGAGTACGGCGGATGACTGAGAGCTTTCAACCCTAGCTCTTGTTACTTTGAGTCCGTCTGTAGTGCGGTATGAGGTCCCGCGTTGTCGCGCTGGAGCAGCGGGGACGAGCGATTGACCAAAGCTGGTTGGAGACATACGCTTAGAGCTTTGGTCAATCTGTGTATACATTGCAGTAATGCTCATCCCTTTTGGTAAGAAGCAGTGATGAATCACACCGGCGCTTGACCACCCAACAGTGACCATCACTTTTCCAGCTGCATGTTTTCGTTTCAGGCATTTTTTAGGTGCTGAACCAGGATCCAACCAACTTGCTGACCATTTGCGATTGTCAAACATTTTTCGTCGTAGGTAACAATGCGGTTCAAAATTCCTTCGTTTGTGTGCCTGTTGAGCAGCGCATGGCACGTCTCAACGTGTACTTCACGCTGGTGATCATTGAGTTTTGGCGCACCCATTTGTCAAGCTTTTTTACCTTTCCAATATGACGCAAATGGTCCAATATTGTTCTGATGCTAACGTCGAAAGCTGCTGCTAAAAC